CTTCAATTTTAGCTGCTTACGCTCCGCCACTCTGCCATGGGCCCCTGTACCGCCTCCTCATGCTGCTGCCAGGCCCGTAATCTGCCATGGGCCCCCGTACCGACTCCTCATGCTGCTGCCAGGCCCGTAATCTGTCATGGGCCCCTGTACCGCTGCCTCCTCATGCTGCTGCCAGGTCCAGAGTGTGTCATGGGTCCCTGTACGGCCTCCCATTGCTGCTGTCTCCATCGCCACACTCTGCCATGTGCCACTTTCAGGTCTCCTCACACTGCTGGTGGGTTCCATTTTGTCATAGGGTGCTGTATGGCCTTCCATTGCTGCTGCCTCCACCGCCACCCTGCGCCATGTGCCTCTGTCGTCTGCTCACGCTGCTGACGGCTTCCGCTTTTTAACCGAGGCCTGTGTTTGGCTTCCGAATACTGCTGTATCCACCGCCACCCCTGCGCCATGTGTCTCTGTCGTCTGCTCACGCTGCTGACGGCTTCCGCTTTTTAACCTAGTCCTGTGTATGGCTTCCGAATACTGCTGCCTCCACCGCCACCCTGCGCCATGTGCCCTCTGTCGTCTGCTCACGCTGCTGACGGCTTCCGCTTTTTAACCTAGGCCTGTGTATGGCTTCCGAATACTGCTGCCTCTACCGCCACCCTGCGCCATGTGCCTCTGTCGTCTGCTCACGCTGCTGACGGCTTCCGCTTTTTTAAACTAGTCCTGTGTATGGCCTTCAATTGAAGCTGCTTCTGCTCCGCCACTCTGCCATTGGACTCTTGATAGTCGTCTCCCCACGCTGCTGCTGGGGGGGACTTTTTAACATAGGCCTCTGTATGGCCTTCAATTTTAGCTGCTTACGCTCCGCCACTCTGCCATGGGCCCCTGTACCGCCTCCTCATGCTGCTGCCAGGCCCGTAATCTGCCATGGGCCCCGTACCGACTCCTCATGCTGCTGCCAGGCCCGTAATCTGTCATGGGCCCCTGTACCGCCTCCTCATGCTGCTGCCAGGTCCAGAGTGTGTCATGGGTCCCTGTACGGCCTCCCATTGCTGCTGTCTCCATCGCCACACTCTGCCATGTGCCACTTTCAGGTCTCCTCACACTGCTGGTGGGTTCCATTTTGTCATAGGGTGCTGTATGGCCTCCCATTGCTGCTGCCTCCACCGCCACACTGTGGCTCCACACTCTGGTTTTGGCCCCGTGACTGCCCAAATGAGTGAAGTGTGCGGTGATTCTAAGATCGACGGCACTCATCTGCATGTCATACTGACTGACAGTATTATTTCTCTTCCCCAGCAGACTCCAAGGGCATTTAAATTAAAGGTACAGTGTTCTGCACTAATATAAAGGCTCTCTGAAGCCTAGAAACACCCTTTTTATAAGTTAAATTCGCGGCGAATATATTCGACTCGAATCGAATTTATTCCGCGAATTCGGCGAATCAGTCGAATCGAATTTTTGAATAATTCGCTCATCTCTACTTATTACAATTATTAAAAACCAGTTCAATCTAGCGTCAAGTCCTCATGACCACACCAAACAAATTAAAAAGAAAAATCTGATTGATTACAGTTCTGCTTTTTTATTTACTGTTCAGAACTAAAGATGTCTGTGATTGGATCTACCTATGCTGCTCTTAGCATCTAGGTTCTCTGATTGCCGCAACATATTTCTATCGAATAACGGTGTCATAAGCAAGTTGGATTGGTTTGGATGAGTGCATATGTTTATGCACAGAGCAGAAGACACCACTGGTATTGACAGTGTTTTAGCTCAGGGATCACTAAACCTTCGAAACAAAGGGTCAGTTTATTGCCTTTCAAACATTAGAGGCACCTGACTGTGACCAGCGGGAGTAGAAAATGCCTTGGCATCGGTGGGAGTACACAATGCCATAGGCTTGGTGGTCAAAAGGGAGTAAAAAAAAATGACATCACTGATGTAATTGGGAGGAATAGTGCCCCATCTCTGGTGTCAGTCGGAAAAAGATTACTTCATTGTTGGTGTCAATGGGAGAAATAGTTCTCCATCTTTGGTGTTAGTGAAAGCAATAGTGCCACATAATCAGTGGAAAGAATGGTGCCCCAAGGGCCGGATAAAGGACCACATCTTGACCGCAGTTTGGAGACCTCTGTCTTTGAGGAAGAGACCCTTATTGGCCCGAATGGATGAAATCCAAATCTTAGGTCTGAAGGTTAGAGAAGGGTTAGAAATTCAGTAAGAAAACTAGAGGTAGAGGGTTTAAGGGATGGTGTCACAGGATGATGGTGTCACAAGCCCCTTTGTAGTTCAGGAAGCATGGCACAGCCTTGTTTGGTGGCCTGTACTATTGAAAAGTAGCTCTATATATAACACAGGCCCCATGATGCCACCAATAACACATTATATCTGTAGCTTTTTACTGTAATTATCACATGACATACGAAGTGGAATTTGTAGAAAAGGGAATCATCATGCAGGTGTGTCTAGAGCAGTATGAGATTTAATTATAGTCTGAGGTCTATACTTAGAAGGATTGAAGACATACAAGGCACATTAGCAGCATTTTCATAAGGAAATCAGCAATGGAAGCCTCTATTATTCTCTCATGACAGGTGGGCTTTAAACATGTAAGTCAATGCGCAAGAACACATGGCAAACACCCATTACAAATGAGCACTTTTCTGCAGTAAGAGCTCTTCTACACAGGCTGGCTGAGCCCATTCAGCATAATTGCAAGTGTATTTTCTCCACCTAGTCAGTACGAGTATGGCATAAGGGTCTATGCAAAAAATAGAAAATTAATCTTTGCAAACATCCGTACACTGTAGTCGTGTTATAATTGCACCACCGTATAGATGAGTACAGCAATGCACAGCCACTCATATCAGTGACTAGCTATATGCTGCACCTGGGCTGAGGAAACGCATTGGCTGTTATGTGGAACAGGCTCAGCCGGCCTGTACTCAAGAGCCCTAAAATGCATGTTTGTCAAAATCTCTACGTGTAAACTGTACTCATTTCAATAGAATCGATTTTTACATCATACACCACCATAGCAAGGCTTGTTTCTCGGAATTCCTGATGCTGTATCATTTTTGTATATTAATGTCACCTTACGCATGAAAATGCATGGAACGTGCAAAAAAAAAGCATGTGCTTCATGTCTTTATTTTGCTTTGTATTTTTTTTTTTTAATTATGTATGTTCACTTCAAACATTAAACCATGTACTAACAGCTCTTAGAACCCCCATCTTGTAAAACAACCCACTCAGTTTAAAATAGAAATGAAAGACAAAACATTTGTGTGTAGATCTACACAACATTATAAACACACTTTTTTTTTTAGTGATCACGTACCCTCTGTTTTCAGCTGCATAAGGAGCTCAGAGAGCTGGGGGCAGGAGAAGCAGCAGTACGTCGGTCTTCCCAGTGAATGGCCATGTAGGGTGAGGTGGGGGGGGGGGGTGTCAGTACAAATGGGATCATTGGAGGAGAGCAGACTGAATTCCCAGTACAGGTAGAGAACTTACCATCCTGTGCTCTCATGCCTAGTTTGGTCAGTTTTTAATAGGAAAAGCAGAGGTACTGGCAGGAACACCAGGGATTTCACATAAAGGAAGTAATGCAAAAGAGAACAGGATACTTTTTCCTACAAGTACATGGTACAGCAGCCACATATCTCTGAGTGTGAACTCTTGAGTCCTTGTCAATCAGTTCAATGAAGGTGATGGCTATAAGGTGCTGTACATCTTTTCACATGCACTTAATTGCTTTTAGACATGTTTTAAATGTACACTACATAGCCAAGAATGTTTAGATACAAAAGCATGAGCAAATGAATGCTGAAACTCCTGCACTGGACGATGAGCTCCACAATGTCAGTAACCCCACATGGAGTACTATTCGGGAATGCAAGCCTTGCTGCTCTCAATGGACCAGGGAAATCCAAAGGAGCTGTGTGCAAAGAAACAAACAGAGGGCGCACAGGCATAGTGCATTACCATGAGATTTATTGAATAAAAAGTAGTATACTCACAAAAGAATAAAATCAAGGCACATCACAAAAAAGACAGCATGGTTCAATCCCTCCCCAAGTTGGCTCTGAAGAAGAGGTTCAGCCTCGAAACATGTCAGCCATTTGGAGACCTACAGTCTCCCAATAGCCACCATCTAAGGAGATTTAACCATGCTTACAAAAGCATTTCAGACAATTGTGAAACTTCCAACCTTGGGGTAACAGTCTGTGGAAGACACTTTTCTGTTCAAGCAAATCCCAGTGCACAACGTCCGCTCCATAAAGACATGGGGATGATGTACTAAAACTGCAGAGTGCAAAATCTGGTGCAGCTCTGCATGGTAGCCAATCAGCTTCTAACTTCAGCTTGTTCAATTAAGCCTTGACAACAGATTGGAAACTGATTGGTTTCTATGCAGATATGCACTGGATTTTGCATTCCCCAGCTGTAGTAAATCAACCCCCATGGTTTGAGTTTGGTGGGGAGGAACTCAAGTGTCCTGCACAGAGCCCTGACCTCAACCCCAATGGACACCTTTGGGATTATTCGGAATGCCAGTTGGGAGCCAGGTCTTCCCATCCATCTTCAATACCTGACCTCATGAATGTTCTTTTTGCCAAATGGACACAAATTCTTACAGACACACTCTTATGGTAAGCCTTCCTAGAAGAAGGAGTTCTGTTATGGCCAGGAATGTGGCCAAATTCATATTAATGGATATGGCTTTGAAATAAGATGTTGAAAAGCTCATATAGGTGTGATGGTCAGGTTTCCACAAAGGGTTGGCCACACAATGTACATCTAAAACATGCATAAAGCAAGTAAGTGCATGTGAAAAGACGTACAGCAATCGTAATGACAGGAACTTGAGTTCAATCATGTACAAGGGATTTCAATAAAAGCTGTTAGTTCATGGCTGAATGTTGGAATTGAACACAGGTTCTCTGTGCTTCTCTTCATGGTTTAATAAATCACCCTAATGTAAGATATTACACGTCTTCCTTATATTTCAGGTGAGGAATGGCAGCTCTTCTGACTCCCCATTGCTTGGCACCTATTGTGGGAATAGTCTTCCTAATCCGATATTTCCTAAAAATAATGTTCTGCGCCTCCTGTTTAAATCAGACATTTCCACATCTCATCAGGGATATGAAATTACTTGGACATCATCTCCATCTGGTAAGGAGCTCCTTGACAATAATTATTATATGTGTTAAAGCCCCAAATCAGGTTGCCCCCTTCACATTTTTATTTCACCCCTCTTGGACTTTCCACGTCTGCTTTTTTTTTTTTTTTTTTTTTTTAAAGTTTGTATACATCCCCTTTTTCCATGGGTCTTCAGTCTGTTTGCATGATATCATCAGCCCTCTTCCTCCACTGGCAGTAAATAGGTCCTGAAGTCTGCGGAGAATCATGTACCCCCAAAGGTAGGTCTTTGTTGCCCTGGGCTAGCAGGAAGTAGTTTGATTGATGTTGGGTGTCACTCCATCTGTAAGAGGAGCAGCACTCGATCTTGGAATAGTGAGTCTATTGTTGTCAGTGCCAGGGAGGAGGTAAGCATCGCAGGGAGAGCAACTTTTTTTATTTTAATAGCTGTTTTGCCTTTTTGATTGTTTCATTTGCTCTGACCCTAGGTTCTCACTTATGCGGATTTCAGTGCGTTGGCAGAAACGCTCTATAGTCCATTTAACATGATTTCCTATGGATCTAGTTCATATCTGTGCATTTTGAGCTGTGACTTTTTTCACAGCAGATTGCGTTTTTCATGTAATAGACTTCAAAAATAGAAGTGTTGCATTTTTTGATGCATTTTGATGTATTTTGTGGGGGGGTTTTTTTTGGCTAATAGGAAAGTATGACAGTTCTGTTCATGTAGTGTGATTTTGATGTGATTTTACACTCTCTGGTACTCAAGTAGCATCAAAGTTGCATCACAGTAGTACAGGAACCTTTATGTGTCCAAAATTGCATGTTCGGGTTAAGGGCTACCCTTAACCCTAACCCTAACATGTAACCCTAACATTAACATTTAACCCCAACAGTAACATGCGACTTTGTACACATAAAGGTTCCTGCACTACTTTGATGCTACTTGAGTGCCAGAGAGTGTAAAGTCGCATTAAAGTCGCACTACAGGAATAGAACTGTCATACTTTCCTATCAGCCCAAAAAAATGCAAACCACATAAAAAAAAAATGCCAAAAATGCTAAACACGGCGTAAAATGCTCTGGAAAACTGCAACCTGCATAGATGTGAACCTTGCCTAATTGGGCTCCAAAACACTTTTTTTTTTTTTAAGATGTAAACTTCACTAAAAACTGACATTTCAGTAATGGGTATGCAGCTCTAGGTTGCTTCAGGCAAGGAATGACCTGCCAGATTCTTGTGTCAGTTGAAGATCACAGTAGTGTAATTAGTGTTATGTGCTGAATGGGAAGTTCAGGTTGTCTGATTTTCCCTTTGAGTGTCATCTGACTAATGCCTAGGTTAAGTGAGCAGCACTTTCTGCAGGAACAGTAAGCATTTTAGTACTTTTTTTTTTTTAGTCCTTTTCTATATCTCACCTAGTATTTTCACCTACAGTAATACAATGATATAAAGGGGCTGGGTAAGGCATCTCTGTGTTGCTGCATTTGCATATTAATTACATATTTCCCAAAAGCTCATATGTACTGAGAAGGGTACTTTCATTGCAAAGGACAAGGCCTATTGTGCAGCAGTGCTGGGACATGATCTTGTACAGCATATCTTAAGTCATGTGGACGTGTTTGTGTGTTAAAAGATGATATCTATCGTAATAGAGCACATCCGAATAAAAGTGGATGTAAAGTTAAGTATATTTTTTTATAAAAACAAGTGCAACACATGGTAAATAATGTGTAAGATATATTTATTACTTCCCAAAGAGATCACAGTACTCAACAATATCATAATCTTTCTTTCTACCTTTAAAACCAGAGCCATCTTTGTGCAGGCATCATTCACAGTGAAAAAAAAAAACAAAAGTCTACAAAAGCTTTCAGAAAGCATACACTTAGGTGCTGAGACTACAATCCAATCTAAATGACTTGTCCAGCAGGGACCCTAGTTGAAATAAATAAGGGATAGAGCTAGATGAAGATCCCATTTACGTCCCAAGTACCATGGGGGTCCAAGCGTACTCAGCGCATAGTGTCCACATACCAGTGGGAGATAGGATCGACACTGTCTCGTGTGCAGGTAGCTATCACCGTCTCGACAATCCGATGTCCTAGTTTCATGTTAACCCCACGTCACTCTTCCCGGGTTCATGGCAAATCCAGACCTCCATATGATGAAGCTAGTCACAGTTCTGCTACTGTCAGTCGAACAGATAAATTATAAGTAGCTTGATATCGAAACAAAGTCCCGGGACATCCTAATGCAGGAGCTACTGTCGACGCGTTTTGCCCATCTACTTTGACTACGGGCTTTATCAAGACCAGTAGAGGGCACTCTCCACTACTCAATATATTTACTCAGCCTCCTAACATAGTTACAGAATTAGTCTGGCTGAAAAAAGACAAAAGTCCATCCAGTTCAACGAAAAAAAAAAAAAAGTTATAATCCTATACCCACAGTTGATCCAGAGGCAGGTAAAAAAACCCCAGCAAAACATGATCCAATTTGCTCCTGCAGGGGAATACATTCCTTCCTGATTCCCCGAGAGGCAATCGGATATTTCCTGGATCAACTTTACCTGTAAATGTTAGTATCCAGTTATATTCTCTATATCTAGGAAGGAATCCAGGCCTTTTCTAAAGCAATCCACTGAGCTAGCCAGAACCAACTCTTGAGGGAGTCTATTCCCACATTTTCACAGCTCTCACTGTGAAACGAGGCAGTTTAGACACAAAGTGGCGCTCTAAGTACGCTCAGCTGCTATTATTTACTCTGATTACAACAATGCTCACATAACTATTCAAAGCAAGAGTTTTCAGACCATTAAGAAATGTCCATGTTAGGCAAAGAGTCAGCGTGGAAAAAACAGATCAGCAACCATTAGCCCCAAGGGTACATCTCAACCAATAGTCTTAAAATCTAGTATTGGCCACCCCCACACACAAAGACCATAAAGGCCACCTCTTAAAGAGCTAATTTTATGTGGCCCAAAACTGATTGGGGACATGCCAAATTCTAAGTAAGCAAACAGCTTCATGACATTTTACCTTATGGGGGGAAAACCTCCCAGGTTCATCTCATTGTTTAAACCATTTGGAGCTAGGGTTCCTAATTTATATATCCAACGTTTTTCCTGTTGGAGAAGCACTTTATCAAAGTCATCTCTCCTAGCAGATAGTTTAAGGGCAAAAAAAAACCTTAACTTTTAGGCCATTCATTGAGGAAGAATGTTTTTCTTTGAAGTGAAGAGCCAAAGGATTCCCTTTTTTTCGCCCTGTTTTGGATTACGGTTGCTCCTAATAGCTCTAAGATGTTCACCGATCCGGATACGCAGATGTTTTTGTCTTTCCCATATAACATTTCTTACATGGACATTCAATCATATAAAGTACCTTCTCTGTTGAGCAATTAATAAAGCTCTTAATATCATATGTTCTCATGTGATCTGCTCCAGTGAATGTCCTAGTCCTTTCAACAAATGGGCAAATAGAGCAATGTCCACAAGGGAACATTCCTGCAGTAGATGGTGACCAGTTAGAAGAAGAGCTTCTAGTAAATTCAGAATCTACCAAAATATCTTTTAAATTGCTCACTCATAGATGGTTCAGGGCCCACAATTTGAGCAATTATTAGATTAGAGGTCAGAACATGCCAGTGTTGGGAGAGTATAGACCTTACCGTTCCCCATTGAGAACCAAACTTAGTAATAAATCTGGTGGGGCTCTGCTTCAACTTTTCATTCTTATTGGAGGCCTTAGTTGGCTGTTGAAGCAGGGTCCTACAATCCCTCCTTACTATTATTAGATAAATTACTCGGCAACTAAAACCTAAATATAACCCTTATAGTGAATACTCGACTTTAAACCTAAGAAAAAGTCACACTTTCACCCTTGAAAGCAAATACCAATATTCAAAAACCTTTTTTCTTCACCTTAACTCAATTGATAAATGAAACCATAAAATTAAATTAGAGTATGTGGTAGGATACCGCACAGCATTTTTTAAAAAAGAGTTTGAATTCACCAAAAAAACACTACTAAAATACAGCATGAGTTATTTTATCAAGTCATCATGCAATATTTTAGTAGTGAAAACCATGCATAATGTGTCAGCTGTCAGCGGGGTTCCCCATTGACAGCTGAATATGAAAGAGAGAAATTATTTTAAAAAATGGCGTGGGGTCCCCCCTCCATCCATACCAAGCCCTCCGGGTCTGGTATGAATTTTGTGGGGAACCCCCACGCCAAACTTTTTTTAAAAATGGCGTGGGCCATTTGATGGGGAAAAGGGCCTCCTTCCCACAACCCTGACCGATGGCTGTGTGGGTCTGCGGGTAGGGGGCTTATCGGAATCTGAAAGACCCCTTTAGCAAGGGGGCCCCCAGATCCTGCCCCCCCCCCATGTGAATAAGTATGGGGTACATGGTACCGCTACCAATTCACAAAAAAAAATGTAGTGTGAAAAAAGACAGGAGACAGTCTTTGACAAGTCCTTTATTAAAAGAAGAAAAAGAAAAGAATGTCCCCTGAAGTAGATCCAACGTCAATCATGATGCCTGCCGCTGCAACCCAAAAAAATACGGTTTCACTGGCCATCCTTAAGTGTGGGCACTTGAAGCTTGCAGCTTCAAAGCCGGGTGCCTACTGCGCATGCATGAGTAGCGCTATGCATAGTGCATGTTCCTGTTGTCTTCTGGGACATATCACCTATTCCAGAAGATTACGGGGAGGGAGGAGGGAAAGATCGCCTAGGCAATCTGGGAGTGGGAACGGGTACCTGTCAAAATCAGTTACCAGCTGCCCGCCTCCCCCCGATCCCCAAAGGTGCCAATTCCTCATGGGGAGCAGGAGACCAGTACTTAAAGCAGAACTT